AAGCGTCAACCATTTCTGGCCAGCAACTTTCAGCGTCATTAAGCCGCTGCGCCACCGCGTCATCACCGTTATTGATGGTATGTGGGTTGAAATCTGAGAAAAGGAGGTTGAAATAACAAGTATTTGGTCTACCTCGGTATTTGCTTTGAATAGGTGTTATGAGTAAATGTTGGGAGTCCTTGCAGAAAGACCACTACCTTAATACATGTCCAACTACCTGAGTTAATATAAGGCATTTATTATATGGGACACCAGGAAATTTATCTTGCATAATTTTAGAGGGTAAGAAAAAGCATACTAGTACTTTGAGAAAAGGTCATGAAAAAGATAAGAAGGGAGGATCAAAGCATTAGTTGGATTTCCAACTGCACATCAACGGGTGGTTTTGCTAAGGTAATTTATCAATTTCCCACATACATTGTTTTATTGTTTATTTGGCTTTTACATATCCCACATGGATATATTATAACAGAGGGAGAAAAGGTACAATTCTTGGTTTTGATTCCAGTAAAATTATCAACCTGGAGTGATGTTGATATACAGAATTTTAAGGGGGCTAGACTTTCTGACAATATATCTGCTTAAGCCGATACATGACTCTGCTTTGCCAAATCTTGGGTTCGGAGGAAAAGCCCAGTTTCAATTCATAGTATGGCATTTGGAACACAACACGATATACTAAAAAATTGCACTCAGGCATTTAGATTACACTTTCTCAAAATAATGGTCTTTGTCTTCATACAGTGCAAAAAAGTAGAACAATTGTTTTCCCCTGGAAAACCCAGAGGGCTGAGGGTATAAATTGGCACCATTTATGTGATTTAAAAAAACCCCAAAACCTAACAGTGGCAAATGCTGACCTCTAGCCATTTGCTGTGCGTGAAGAGTTTGGGCATTCTGTTTCCCCAGATTCTGAAATGTTTTATCCAAGTATATGTATTGCCTCACTTGCTCAATGATATAACAACCAATATACCATTTATGTCATCATCATCATCACCATCCTCCTCCTCTGATTTTTATTCTCACCACTGAGAAAGAAAGTATGACAGTATCATCAGCATAATGAAAAATGGGAATTCTGTTGAGTAGAAGGGGGAATCCAGAAAAGATTAATGCAATTAGAACAGAAGGTTAAACATTCAGTCTCAATTATATGCATATACTGTCTGTATCCTTAAACAGCCTGATGAAGTTACCTCTTGTTTTTTTTTCTTCCAACAAGCATTTTACTTCCAGGAGTCCCAAATGGAAGACTATTTTATAATTTGGATACCATGCAATAATTTATTCATTTAATTTTCTTTCTTCCCCTTTATGATTAAATAGACAAATTTAAATATTAAAACAATTACTTGTATTGCAGGATATGAGTCTCTGTGTGTGTGTGTGTGTGTGCTTAATTTTGGTCGGTATATAAGAGTTTTATGTTTTCATATTTTTCTTTTTTTCATTATGCATGTACAATGATAAAAATTCTCTTATCTTTCCAATGTAGAAAATGGGCTCTCCTCCTCCTCTTCTCCTGTCATATTTGTAGCAATAGTCTACCTATTTTATCTTTACTGCTTACTTATTTTATTGATAACAAATAAAATAATGGAAGTTTTGTATGACTCAAATCAATTCTTTTAGAAAAGAACTTCTCAAGAGTATCTGCATTATGCAAAGATCAGTATTTAGCCTGAACACATCCTCCCCACACAGGGCCATCCATATATTGAAGGCATAGGAGGAAGGAGCAAGAGCATGGACCTGCATCAAAAACAAAGAAAAGAGGAATTCAAGGGCCCCTCAGTCAAAAAAAAGTGTTTGCAAAAATGCACATAGTCTTTAGTGTTCAATATGAATTTTCATGCTCATAGCACTCTTCAATTTGTGAAGGAGAAACCTGACGGGAAAGATCTACAGTATGAATAAATGCATGCAACTGTTGGAAAATGTTCTGATCTATCCTTCCATTTCTCTCCCACTTTGACTCATTCCTACATTTTCCTATGTTGTAAATCCCTATCTAGGATTTTCTTGCTCACGTGCTTATTGTAGTTATAATTCTTTGAATGGAAATATTCCTGATTTCAACACTTCAGATCAGAATCCAACCATACAGAACATAACACTGATGCATCGATACTCACAAACACACACACACACACACACACACTTTAATTGTAAGTGTATGTGGTATAAGGCCCTGTGAGAGGTAACACTGCAGGCAAGATAAGAACAATCCAGATTGAAATGTCGACCCAGTCATGAACTTGAACCAAAAGAAGAATAGGGAGGAACAAAAATAAGTGATATTGAGTTTCTTGGGATAATGTGGGCAATTAAATATACAAATTAATGATATTGTGAGGGTGAGAAAAAAGGCTACTTGTTCTCCACCAGAAATACCTTTACAAAACAAATTGGCAGTGCATCCTGTGCAGTTTTGATAGGTTATCTTATCATATTGTTTAGACTGTTGTTTTCCTTTGGCTTGACTTGCCCTATTGCAGAATTGTCTTGACTGATTACAATCAGTAAATAATATGACCATAGTGTAGGTTAATATGGCTGTGGGTTCCTCCCTCTCCAGTAATCTGTTACCAGGGATGGGTAGGGCTGAAACCAGCAGTAGGAAGAGATAGATTAAAAAAACAAATGGTGTGTTAACCTCTGTCTCTCTTTTTCTCTCTCTCTCTCTTTGCCATTCATCTCCCCACTCTCCTTATTTCTGCCATTTTTCCCCCTCCTCTTTTCTGCTTTCCATCCTTTTTTCCAACCACTTCCTTCCAGCTGATCAGGAAGGGAAGGTGGTGTTCTTGCCATAGCAGATGACTGTTTTAGACCTGTGAAAGTGGCTCAGTGATGCATGATAGTAACAGTTGCAAATGTTCCATGCATATCCATCATGCATCATGTCACTCAACCCACATACCTATAGGTAATATGAGCATATCATACAACAGTATGGTGCAGCAGTTAAAAATTTAGACAAGGACCTGGAACAGCTCCTCACTAGGTGATTTGGGCCAGTGACTATATTTTAGGCTGGCCTTCCTATGAGATTGTTTTGGAGATAGTAGTAGTAATAGTAGTAGTAGCAAGGGAGAAGTACTGTGTATATTGCCTTGAGTTCCTGGAGAAAAGATAGGATATAATGATTATCAGTCAGTGTTTGGATTCATTTACTGTTGGCAGGCTATCATTTTATGGATTTGAGGTCGAACACATAGGAAGTTCCTATCAATATGGGACAATAAGATATAAACACTGATATGAAAATGTCCCACATCCAAATCAAAAGAACGCTTAAAATTTAGTAAATGTTTAATTCTGTCACAGATTAAAGCTTCTGGAATACTTTTTTTTTTTTTTTTTACTTAATTCCCTAGAAAGCAAATACAGTTTTGTTGGCTACATCTAATATAATTTTCTCTGATACATACTGGAAGTCTGGAAGTCTGGAAGTCTGCAATATAAGATAAGATGCATCTTTTACTTGGATGCAGAATTAAAGTGCGTGATCTTAGAGGTAGTCTAA